ACTAGATCAGATTGGGGATCCACAGATGATGGTGAAGCATGCAGATTTTGAAGGGTAATTGGAAGGTTTTAAGTGGGAAGTGATTACATATTAGATGCTCTGCTGGTAGCTTTACATAGACAACCTTCATATCTTCATCAAAGCCTGTCTGCTAAGGTTCTTTCTCCACATTAATGGTTATGCCTCCTTCTATTAGCATTGTCTATGAGCCTTGTAGGTACCCTAGGAGGAAAGGCCTCCAACTTTGTCTTTTGGCGCAAAGCCCTGCTGGCTATCTCAGTTCAATAATATTTCAAGAATATGCAAGCCTGAGCTCCTCAATACACTGATCCTGTATCAGAACTGCTGTGTTGTTCAAATCACCTACACCAGAATGAGAAAGGTGGGATCTGGGCTTTCTGGGGGTGGTGCAGTATCAGTCTTGTGCCCTACTGAATGCAAGCTAGAAGGCACAATCAAATGTTCTCTTTGAGGTGGTTTAATGGTGATTATCTCTCCAAGGGCACCAGCCCCATAACCAGGCTTCCAATTATGAGACCTGTGCCACTGCTAAGAGCAGTACTCCTTGATGGACAAATGACTGAAGGCTCCCTGCTATCTGAATTCTATGAGCTCAGGTTCTTTGTTGCAAATTCCTCTGCACAAGTGTGGTGGAGTGACTTAACTTGCTTGTGGCCAGAATTCCTGCTTCTTCTTCAGTCTCCAACTCTGCCACATTCCTCCCTCCTATTCATAGACTCTTCAGTCTGCTCCACATTGTTCTAAAAACTAAACTCAGGGCATTCCCAAGAATTTCTCTATCCCTCCACTAGCACTGTTTACACAAAGGCATAAGAGATTATAGCATATGTCCCTGAGGGGGAGAGAGAGGTAGCAGAGGAAGTCTGCAGCACACATCATTTGGTTCCATGAAGATGCCAATTTCTCCATGTCTCAAGTCTCTCTACCCAGGGGACCGCCTTCTTTCTAAACACAGCTCACCCAGTGTGTCATGCACAGAATATAATTCTGCTGTCTCCCCAGCTCTGCTGTTATCTAAGGCCCATTAGTGTCTCTAACATGGTAGGATTCTAGTATAGGAGAACAGCATAAAACTTTAATATGCCATTAAGTTTCAGAAGATAAATGTGGATGAATTCAGGTTGGGTTTCATCTGCCACCTTCATTGTCTTAAACCTCTACTTCTAAAACAACCTTGTTTTCCTTACAAATTGAATGATTGCCCTCACATTTGAGGTACTGAGAGTCAGATAAGATAGTAGACTGTGCCTTCTGAAGATGGAACCTGAATCTCTCCCATATCACAATCCCTTCTAGACCATGCCACCACCCCCCAAACAAGAAATGTTTCTGCTTTGGAATTAGTGATTCTTTGTGACTATGTCAACCAACACACAGAAATGATGCTATAGATTTTTCAGGGCCAGTTTACAAATTGCTTGCATTTCCTCCTTGTTATATTGTGGATCTAATGCTTAGAACTTATTTATACACTACAAAGAAGCCAAAGCAGTTCATAAAGAGGCCTTCAGTCCACCTGAACTCCCAGATACCAGCTATCAACTTGCCAGCTGTGTATTTGCCTTTTTGAAAGTACACTCTCCATCTCTCACCTAGATGGGGGAAAGGTTAGTTACACCTGCAGAGCTCTAATCACAAATTCACTAACTAAAGGTTATTCTTCGCTATTATTTTAATCTGAATGTAAACCCCCATCAAGGTCTATATAGCAAAGGCATGGTCTGTAGCATGAAATACTAGAAGGTAAGTGGATCCCATAAGAGATTCCCATGCCATCAGAATCATGTTATCAAAGAGGATAATGGGACCTGATCCTGGGATACTGAGATGTCTTCCAATTCCTGTCATCTTCCTTTGCTTCTTCACCACACACTCTCCAGCATGATGTACTGTCTTGCCACAGGCCCAAACTTGTGCTGGGACTTAAAAAAATTTTTAGTCAAAATAGGCCTTTATTTATTTTTTAAGCTATTATATAAAAGTATTTGTTACAGTTACAGACAGCTGACTAATATGCTGATTTAAGTCTTTAAGTCTTAAAATTTAGAAGCCAGCAGATAACCTGCTTAAAATCACAAAGGTGGGGCTCAAAGTTGTGACTTTCTGGCTCTCAGTTCATATTACCTGTCACAAGTCTGCTAAGTCCATTGCTCACAGTAATCATTTAAATATGCCCCTTCCCTCACTTCCCTTTCTATCCTACAGATTCAGAGTAGAACAAGCTTTGCTGGCCTGGCCAGCATAGCCAGGAGTAGTTACATCTGAGGACACAATCTTCCTTCATAAAAATCTACCTAATCATAGGCAAAGCCACATCTCCTTGGGTGTGCAGAGCAGATAAACCCAAGTCAAACAGCTCTAATTCTTTATCACAGCATTACTGAACTGGGAAAGCATTTGTAAACATGCACTTTGACGTTTGCTACCCTTGGGGCTCAGGAAGAAAGCCAAAGTCTCTGAAGAAACATCTAGACATCCATACTGGCAATCACAGTTCTGCATTGCAGCACAAGTTCTAAATGGTCTTAATAATAATAGTAAAAAACAAGAGTCAGGTATTAGGGGGTGAGAACTGAAAGATCAGAGAAGCAGAGCACCTAGTCACTAGAGTACTTACCTCTACAAAATCTCCAGAACAAAAAGAAACCAAGCTACTGTCGCCCACCTGCCTTATATTCCTCTCTCTGCCAGGCCTTATTACCTCCTATCTGTACAGACCTCTAGACCTCTATGGTTAACTAGTGGCTAGCTCCACCCTCTGATCTTAAGGCAAGCTTTATTTGTTAGAGTACAAATAAGATATCACCGTATTTCCCTTTTTTGTTCAAAATAAAGAAGATTATGACTAACATAAGAAAAACTATATACAATAAGTACAATAACTATGTATAACATATACAGGCAAAAAATGTCTAGTTCATTAGCAATTGACACATACAGAGAATATACTCCATATCTATCCTATCTTGGTGAGTTCAAAAGGTTATACATACTTCACTTTTTAACCTAACTTGCATTAACAACCCAAAATTATCTTTTTATGTCTCTCAACCTTATATACTTTACACCTCTTTAGTGAACTTCTTTTCTGAATCTGGTAACAAGGAAAACTATAACTTTGTGCATTAGACAGAAAGGGAGAAATTATGTGGGATGTCCCTCTGTACATTGTGAATATGTGTTGCTTTTTGTTGGTTGATGAATATGGTTGCTTTGATCTATGGCAGGGTAGAATATAGTTAGGTGAGAAAACCAAATTGAATACAGGGAGAAAGAAGACAGGGTCAATGGAGATGCCAGCAGCCACTGAGGAAGCAAGACATGTAGAAAATGAGGTAACGCCACAGCCATGTGGCGATACGTAGATTAATAGAAATGGGTTAATTTAAATGTAAGAGTTAGCTAACAATAAGCCTGAGCCATCAGTCAAACAATTATAATTAGTATTAAGCCCTTGAATGATTGTTTAATAAGTGGCTAAAAGCCTCTGGCTACTCTGCATCTTGCTCACAGTTCCCTGATTTTCACTTTAATAATCTTGGTTAGGATAATGTGTTGAAAGAATGCCTTGAAATAGACACAGGCATCACCCCCATTCCTGGCTACCTCATCCTTTGTGGCTACAAACGAGATAACTCTTAGTAGTTTAACTCTTTAAACTTCTGCAGATTATTTTAACCTAGACAATTTCAATGTAAAGTTTTAATGATGTATTTATCTGTTTGATTGTAATTATACCCAATCACCTACTCATCTATTTGTGTATCTGTCTGTGGTTAAGGTTAAGAGTCTTTGATCAATGTTGTTGGATTCTAATCCTGTCTTATCAGCTTGTTAGCCAGTCTTCTCAGTCTATTCACACCTCATATCCTCATCTGTGAGATAGGAGAAAATACTAATATCTCCATAATAGAGTCATTGTGAGAATCAGATAGAATAATATGCACTTGTGTGGCACATGGTCAGCGCTCCAAGAATATTGCCTTTGATTTATTTCTGTTGTTGGTGTTGTGGTTTAAGGTCTGTGATAATGTTGGAGGATGCATAGCAGGTGGGTTTGGTGAGTTTCAAGCAAAGGTTCCAAGACATGAAGTTTACTTTTCCGTTTTCAGACAACCCCAGTTCCCAAGAGAGGCAAACTTTGCCTTTCACTGCTGTTTTAGTATTGACTAACAATGTAAAGACATACCTCAAATCACTTGCTGTCCCAGCTTGCTTTCTGTTGCTATGAAAAAACTCTGACAAAACCAACTTGGGGAAGAAAGGATTCATTTTACTTAAACATCCCAATCACTATCCATCAGTGAGGGAAATCATAGCAGGAATTCAAGGCAAGAACCTGGAGGAAAGAACTGATGCAGAGACCATGGAGGAGTGTTACGTCCTGGCTTTATGTCCCTGGTTTGCTCAGCCCACCTTTTTATTCAATCTAGAATCACTTGCCTGGACACCATGCTTGGGCCCTTTCGTCTCAATCATTAACCAAGAAAATGTTGGAGGTAATTTCTCAATTGTGGTCCCCTCTTCCCAGGTGACTCTAGTTTGTGTCAAATTGACAAAAATTAACCAGTACACCTATGGTGGGCTAATGTCCCTATAACCACATTGTAAGTTAGAGATAGCTTCATAAGTTTGAAGTACATCTGATGAGTCCCTTGACCAGTGCGAGTTCCTATTTGAGCAACACAGTGTGCCTTAGTATGTATGTTGTTTTCCTTGGTGACTGTGACTATCTGGGAGCTGTGGCTCACTATAGCTGGTCAACATCTTGAGAAATATTCAGACCACATAGCACAAGGCTGGAAATATCCAAAATTGATACTAAAACATGGTTTCCAGTTTCCACAACCCCTTTTACAACACTACGAAGACTCAAATTATCCTAAGTTAAACCATCCTGAGCCAGGGCTGTTGTTCTATGTGCCAGCTCAGTGTGCTGACTGTGTGGCATCATTTCCTGTGCATGGTTGAAAGTGAGGGTCTCAGCCTGGTCTGTCTCATAGGAGGTGCTGCCGTCAGATTCTTCCATGACTGCCTTCTAGTCCACACAGCCAGGTCAGGTCTGAGGATACCACTCAAGGCCCTGGCCAGACGCTTCCTGCTTTGAAAATTGCTTCAAAGCCATTGCCGGGCCACCTGCTCTCCAGGATGACTTTCAAATTCGTGCCTTCTTCCCGTGAGTCCAAATGGCAGGGCTGAGCAGCAGGGTTGATTAGCTTCCAAGAGCACACTTTATGCTGCCTCTTCTCCTTGTTTGAACTACAAAAGGGAATTTTCTGATCTGAATAGCAGCTCTAACTTTCTGTCTTATTGTGTAAGAAGAGAACGCGCTCAGAAATAGGAGAGATGCTGTCAGCATTTCTCAGTTTTCAAATGAGTTTTCCAAAGCCAGTGGTTTCCTTCGATGGTCAATGCAGTGGAGTCCAGGAGTTGTAAAGGCTGGGTCAGACCAGCTAGGAGTGAGTAAACACTTCCAGGGGAAAGGATATGTGAATGACAGTTCTGTGTTTTGTTAGAGGAGCAATTCATGGGACCAGGATGGTAGAATCCTATCAACATTGGAGTCCAAGGTGAGATAATGTCAAGGTGAGAGACTCTTATATAGATGCTGGGTCAGCAGCAGTACTGCATGAAAGGTTAACCTAGAAGCATCCCCGAGATGTTAGTAAGGGTTTCCGGAACAATCAGCTCGCTCTCTCTCTCTCTCTCTCTCTCTCTCTCTCTCTCTCTCTCTCTCTCTCTCTCTCTCTCTCTCATCTATCTATATCTCTATCTCTATCTCTATCTCTTTCTCTCTGAAGAGCAACAAGTTTAAAGGCATAAATGAGGTAGTAAATTTCTACAATTCCACACTGGGTAAGAGTAAGTATGTTGGGTGTTATGGGTCACATATTGTCTGTTGCAACAGCCAGGTTCTGCCTTCCTGGCACAAAAGTAGATGTGAGGTGATGTGGCTGGGCCTTGATATAAATGACTGAAGGGCTACAGGCACACTGGGTTGGCAGGCAGCAACACACGGTCACCAGCTTTCACAGGACTGGAAGAGGTGGGAGAAACATGGTAAAAGAGGAAGGTATCCTCTCCCTAGCTTAGTAGTGGGGTGGAAGGAGGAAAGAAGAAGAGATGGAGAGAGGGACAGAATGAAGGAATGGAAGGATAGAAAGAAAAAGAGAGAGGGGAGAGGGAAGGGAGGAGGGAAGGAGGGATGGAAAGGGAGATATTAAAATTCTCTACAGCCCTTCTTAACCAAAAGGCAACCCACTCTCCGGGTGTCTAATTACTCCTCAGGTGTCCATCCCCTTGCATGAACCTTCAAGGTGTGAGGAACCCGTGGTCCAGGGTTCCTATTTGTACAGAAACCCCAAGCCCATCTCTAAACCCCAAGTTTCCTGACAGGATTCTGGTTCTCCTCGTTGCCTTGTTCTACTTTCTGCCCTGCGTCTCTTTCTTCCTCTTCTTCTATCCAGTCAATTCTCACTTGGAGCATGACTCTTGCTCTCAAATTTCTGCACAATGTTGTTCACCAGAATCCATGTGGCATGGGAGGATTTTCTGGAAAGTGGTTTTGAAAATCCCTTGGCCATTGTCACAGGACTTCCTTCTGATTAGCATCCTTTCTTGTCTAAATCCCTCTTCTATGACATCACAATGTTCTGCAGTGCACAGACAGGATCCAGCACCTGTAATACAATGTCAAGCGAACTCTTTCCAAGGGGGAGGGGAGACCCAGGCACAATGGGCACCCACAGGAGAGATCACAGCACAGAGAGCATTGTGTGGGAGGACTCCAAGAAGAGATCTTATGAGGGGCTGCTTATATGAGTGGTGATTTCCAGCAGAGAGGAGAGAGGAAGGACATTTGGAGCACAGGGAAGAACAGGAGAGGCTGATATGGCCTCAAGGAGAGAGTCCATCTTTTCGCATTGATTTTAACTGGCCTGTTTATTAAACTCATCTTTTCTTTTCAAAAGGAAAAGCTATAATTAGTTTCCTAATCTTTATTTTCTTGGGCCACTGAAGTATTTTGAATCAATATTCTTGAGACATTCATTTCCTTGAAGTGCCAGAAACAATGAAATAAGAAATGTTTTTGTATAAAAATTCAATTATGAATATTAAAATGTTCCATGTAACTAGATCTGTAAATTGATGATAAGCATTTTCTGAATAAAAATTCTGGTTGTTAATGCTTGCAAAAACAACTCTTTAGATACATTTTCGAAAAAGCAATTTCACAGAGCAGCCTTGCCATGATGGACATTTGTGGGAACCTCCTCAGGCTCCAGTTTCTTCTAACTGGAGGTGATGATTTCTGTCTGGGACCCCACGTGACTCTGGGGAAAGTGACTATTCTGTCATCCTGCTGGGACGCTTGACCTGTGTAGTCTTTCCATTCCTCCATCCCTCAGGTCACAGCTCACAGTGAGTACCAGGTCAGAGCAGGTCCAGTAAGAGCAAGGTGTTCCTTCTGGGGCTCTTGAGAAAGACATTTTTCTCCTCTGAGAGGGCACTATGTGGGTGAGACAACAGCCCACTCAGCTGCCGTAGCCCAGAAAGAATCCGTCCCAAGGACAAAATAGAGCCAAGAACATGGCAGAGAAAACAAAGCCAGGGCTCTGAGCCATCCAGAATAATTGGATCACGTTGTGCCTGAAGCCTGCCTACCTCATGAATTTTCCTTTATTGTTAAAGCCAAGTTGCATTAGGTTTCCCTTCTAGCTGAGATGTTTCTCAAAACCACCCTGGATCTATGTTCACCTTTTACAGAGACCTGGGAGCTCAGTCCATGGTACTGGAGTGTCCTGGTTAGTAAAAGTCTGGGTGATTCCAATGTATCCAGAATTTTCATTAAAAGAGAGCTCGGCTGTGCAAAGGAATCAAAGGCTCAGGAAGGTTGTGCATCTGCTGTGTCGAAAATTCATAGGAAAAGCTCCAAAGAGGAGGCACGGCTATAGTGCTTTTATTGGATCTAGAGTCTCAGCCAGACAACTTCCCTACTGGGCTGTGCCTGGCGAGGGCTGGGAGGGAGCATGTTTGACTAGCTTCATAGTGCTCAACCTGGTTAATGAGAGGTTCAGAGTTCAGGAAACCAACTCCTCAAGGACCTGCAGAAGGCAGCTAATCTCTTTCTTCTCATTAAAAGTAGTGTATGAGTGTCGTGGACAGTGTAGAGAAGCATAACCAGGAGCAGCACAGCCATCCAAATTCCCTCACTCAGGTGTTCTCTATTGTTATCTGCATTTCCTCACTCATTCCGAACGTGTAATTTTCTGTCAGCAATTTTCCCTCAAAAATAGTATCTTTGTAGTCAGTTCCGTGGTTGCATAATGTTTTGCTGTTGGGTTTTCTTTGCATAACTACTTTTCCTTTGTTGAATATTCAAGTAATTTGTCTGTTGTTTTTCTTTGTTTAAAGGAGGCTTTGTTTCTAGGGGCAGTTTTAGGTTCACAGCAAATTTGAGGGAAAAGGTAGAGATGCTAGGCACACCCCCACAAATGCATGATGTTTAAAGCCATGTTCTTGGTCTCTTTTGTCCCAAGGCTGGCTTCTCTCAGGGCCACAGCAGCTGAGAAAGCTGTCCTCTCATCCACATGGTACCTCTGCAAAAGGAGAAAGGAAGCCTTGCCCTAAGAGTCGCTGGGGGGAAACCACTGCTCTGATTGGATCAGACTTGGCCAAGTACTCATCATGAACTTCTACCTGAGAGATGGAGGTGAGGTGTACACAGGTCAAGCATCCCAGCATGACTGGCAACGGAGTCGGCTTACCCAGAACTTTGTGTATCCCTAGATAGAAATCACCTCTTCACTAGAGTGAAACATTCATTAACAATTAATGATTCTGCATGGATATGTCCTTGTCTCTCAAGTTCATACCAAGATTCACTCTATGAATTTGGCAGATTTGCATGTGTCTGCCATTACAGAATTATGAGATAGTTTTGTTGTCCTAAATATCCTTCCTATTGTTATCTGCATTTCCTCACTCATCCGGAATGTGTAATTTTCTGTCAGAGCAATTTTCCCTCAAAAATAGTATCTTTCTAGTCAGTTCCGTGGTTTTCCTTCTCTCCACCCTAACCCCTGATAGCTGCTAATCTTTTAAACCATTCCCATAGTATTGCCTTTTACAGAATGTCATAAATTTGAAATCATTATATATATATATATACATATATATATTCTCCATACTATTTATTCTAGTTAGTAATACAGATTATTTTACAGATTATTTTTTCCTGTGTCTTTTCATGGCTTGATAACACATTACTTTCATTGCTGAATGTTTCATTGCTTAGATATATCACAGCTTACTTACCCAGTCATCAACTGATAGACATCTTGTTTGCTTGTAAGTTTGGGCATTTTGAATAAAAAATTCTAAGAATAGTCATGTTCAGTTTTTAATGTAAACATTAGTTTTTGGTTCCCTTGAATAAATAAATATCAAGGGATGATAGATGTCTGGGTCCTCTAGAAAGAGTGTGTCCAGTTTTGTAAGCTGAGTTACACGATATCCATAGCAGTCTGGGTTCCAAGCAGAGGGGCCCTAGGGCCTTGTCATCATTTGATATGATCAGTGTCTTAGAGCCTTTTATTTTCTTATTAAATCCAACTTGTCAATTCTATTTTATATCTTTCTTTGTTGTCTTAACATGTCATCACCAAACTGAAAGCCATCTAAATCATTTTAATATTCCCTTACACTGCTTTCTAAGATCTCTCTCTCTCTCTCTCTCTCTCTCTCTCTCTCTCTCTCTCTCTCGGTGAGGGAACTTTAAATATATGTCTATAAACCATCTGGAGAGAACGTTTCTAAAAAACAAATCATAAATTATCTCTTTTCTTTCTTTTCTTTCCCTGTGTGTGTGTGTGTGTGTGTGTGTGTGTGTGTGTGTGTGTGTGTGTACCTTGCAAATTTTCAGTTGTTAAAGTGTGTCTGTTGAAAAGACCATCCTGGCTACGCTGGTTAGCTTTTGTTCTTTTGAAAAGACCATGTGCTGGTTAGTTTTTACTGTCAATTTGTCATAAACTAGAGTCAATGGGAAGAGAGAAATTTTCTCCATCACATAGTTCTATGGAAATATCTGTGAGGCATTTTTTCTTAATTGCTAATTGTGGTGGGAAGGCCCATTATAGGCAGTCCTATCGCTAGGCAGGGGACCAAGGTTATAGTAGAACACTAGCTCAGCAAGATAGTATTCTGCACTCCTCCATGGTCCCACTTAAGTTTCTGTCTTTAGGTTCCTGCCTTGAGTTTCTGTTCCAACTTCCCTTCATCATGGACTGTAACTTGTAACCTGAAATAAACCCTTTCCTCTCCAGGTTGCTTTTGGTCATGTTTTTTCCACAACAATGGAGAGTCAACTAGAACTGACCCTTTTGTCAGACTTTTATGGGCCTATTTATGGGATCTTTGTTCTTTTCCATTCATCTACTGGTTTAATCTTTCACAAATACTGCAACATTATTTATTTTACATCTCAGAGTCAGATAAGTCTCTCAACTTTTGTTCATTTTCCAATATCCTCTTGGATATCCTGGATCATTGGTCTCCTTGTATTAACTTTAGACTTACATTTTTGATGTCCACAAAAGAAATCACTGTGAGTTTGATTGAGTGGATTGAATCTATACCATGTTGAGAATATTGACATCTCAACATTGAATTTTTTGTTGATGAACAGGGCGTCTCTCTCCATTTGCTTCTTCCTGGATTTCTCTTGCTGGAATTTTATAGTTTTCTTCATACAGACCTTGCATTATTTTATTACATTTATGTTTAAGTGCTTTAGATGATGCTTATATAAACATTGTGGGTTTCCTCTTTTAAATTTACCTGTTCACTTCCCTTGAACAGGAAATTAATTGGCTTTTGGGCACTGATCTTTAACCTTATAGCCCTGTTGTAAGAGTAGTTACAAGAGGTTTAGAATTTCTAAATAGATGATCAATTTCTCTTCAAACAAATGCCTCCCCATGCTTCTTTTCACCATCTGCACACTTTCCATTTCTCTTTCTTAGCTCACTCTTCAGGTCAGCCAGGAGAAGAATACTGGAGAATGCCTGGCTTGGTTTGCTTAGGGTCTTAGTGGGAAAGTGTTGAGTTTCTCTGCATTAAGTGTTATGTCATCCACAGACTCCTATAAAGAGTTTTGTGGAGTTAATTGGCTTCCTGTCCATTTCCATTTGCTGAGGATTTTTACTTTATTTTGAGTTTGGGTTGGTAGTGGCTTTTCAGGTACCTTTTATGAACTTATTGATATGATCATGACTACAGGTGGAGGCCAGAGGTTGATTCTGGATGCCTTCTCCATCACTCTCCACTTTTATTTTGATGCAGCATCTCTTCACTGAACCTGTAGTTTAGCTATTTCTGCTAAACTTCCTAACCAGTGAATCCTCAGGGTCTGCCTGTCTCTGGCCTCCCACGTGCCTTCACGTGGTTGGCATCACGTGTGTCCTAAAAAGACCCATGCTCAGGTTTTCATGGGTGTACAGCAAGCGCTTAACCTTAGGATCTTTCCAGCCCCTAATAATTTTCTTTTCATTTATCTATTAAGTTGATGAAGTTTAAATTTCATTTCATTTATTATTAGCATATTCATGTGTCACGGTGCATATGTGGAAGCCAGAGAACGACTCCCAGGACTTGGTTCTTTCCTTCAACCATGGGCTTTGTCATTAGGCTTTGCAGATAACAACTTTAATCCTGGAGCTGACTCTTTGTCCTAGACTGATTTGCTAGCACTACTAGGTTTTGCATCAGAACTTCTAAGATACTGGTTTTCAGCTTTCTTCTCTCATAACTTCTTGAGTGGTTCTTCATTAGGGCAATGGGAAGCCCACATAGTACATTGGGCAGTAGCCTCTGCTTGTATCTTCTTGAAAGACTACAGAGGATTGATTTTTGTCCCCTCCTTTAATATCTGGAAGAGCCACCAGTGAACAAGTCTGCATCTGGTACTTTTTGTATTATTTACTGACTCAGTCTCTGTAATGAGCACAGATCAGCTCTTTCGGTGGGAGCTGTGGTAGACTATGGCTTTTGGTTAGTGTTTTCTTTCATTGAGGCAGTCATATTACAGACACAGTCTTTCACATTACCCCTGTCTTACACATGTAATTTCCATGAGATAATAGTGTTCCCATCTTTCATTATGACGGTGTCTACTGCCTCTTCTGTCTTTTTTTCTTAGTCTGAAAAAAGGGCTTACTGATTTTATTAAATAAAAAGCTTTTGGTGTTATTGATTTCCTCTATTGATTTTCTGTTTTTAATTTCATTGATTTCTGTACTAGCTTCATTATTTCTTCTTTTATCTTACTTTGGTCTAGTTTCCTGTGGTGAAAAAGTAAATAATTGGCCTTGGCCCTGTGTTCTTATCTAATACATACACACAACAGTATGCATTTGCCTCTAAGCATTGTTTTTCTCTATCTTGCAAACTTTAATAAGCTATGCATTTACTTAGCTTAAAGTATTTTAAACTTCTTCTTGAGCATTTTTCTTGGACCAATATTATTTTTTCCTGCCATTAGCTGGGGTGGGGTTCGGTATTCCAGCATCCTTGTCTTATTGCTTTCTAGTTCCTTTCTACCCAGCTATGCAAACAGACATTCAATACTTTCTGCTCCTTGAGGTGCTAAGTTGTGTTTGCATACCAATGACATGGTCTGCCTTGGTTAACACCCTACTGCCAAGTTAGCCTGACAGAAATATTCCCTCTGCTTCTATTGTATGAACATGTCTATAAATGCCTCATACATCCAGGAGATTGATGGTGCTGTTGAGTTCAGTTGTGTTCTTACTGATTTTCTGTCCTGTAGATGTGTCATTTCTTATAGAAGGTGCTGAAGACTCAGACAATATTAGTGGATTTATCCATTTCTACTTAGAAATCTATTAGGTTTTTGCCATATGCATTTTTTACTTTCTGTTGCTACACAAAAACACACTAAGGATTGTTGCATCTTTTGGGAAAATTCACTCCTTTATCTCTCTGTAGAGCCCTCTTTAACCTCAAGATTCTTCTTGTTTTCAAATCAGTTCTGCCTGGGATTTACAAAGCTACTCCCACTCTTGGATTTCTTCTGGAATGGTCTGCTTTTCTCTTCCCATTTATTTTTAGTTTATATATCTTTATATTGAAAAGTCGACTTCTCAAAATATTTTTATTAGTTGAGAATTTTGTGCCATGTGTTTTGATCATATTTACCCTCTCCCCAACTCTTGCCACGTCCACCCCCACTTTCCTATCCACTCATTTTATTTCCTTAAAAAAAGTACCCATGCTACAATTCACAGATCCAGAGAAGCTGAATAACAAGGAGAGTTCACAGTGTGGTGGGGCACATATAAATCACCCTGGGAAGGAGTACTAGAATAGACATAGAAGGTAAAGGAGGGGAAAAAAGGGATCAGATTGGCATAGGGTAGATGGAGAGGGATGAAGAAAGTACTGGGAGAGACAACTGAAATTGGGGTATCTTGGGAATGACTTAGAAACCTAGTGCAATGAAAATTCCCAGGAATCCACAAGATTCCAAGCCATGGGAGAAATGGAGCCTAAAGTGGTCACCTCCTGCAACCAGGCAAGACTTACAGTGGAGGAACTGGGACACCAAAACAACCATATAACCTTCAACCTACACTTTGTCCTGCCTACAAGATGTGCTGGGGTATAGGTGACCCAGAAATTGTTTGTGTGGTCAATCAATAAGTGATCCAGCTTGAGATCCATGCCATAAGAGTGAGCCCACCCCTGACACTACCTGGAGCATCATCATGTCAGGATTCAGAGGCTTAGGATAGAACCAAACAGGTGTGTGTGTGTGTGTGTGTGTGTGTGTGTGTGTTAATGATGCTTAATGATATTTTGCCATACTTATAGATCAGTGCCCAGCCCAGTTGTCATCAGAGGAGCTTCATCCAACAACTGATGGAAACAGATGCAGAGATCCATAGCCAAACATTAGGCAGAGTTCAGGGAATCCTGCAGAAGAGGAGGAGGAAGGATTGCAGAAGCCAGAGTGATCAAAGACATCACAAGAAAATCCACAGAATCAACTAACCTAGGCCCATAGGGGTTCAGAGACATGAATGGGAGGGGCAGTGGGACTGAGGGGAAGGGATTGGGAAGAGAGGTAGGAGGGGCAATAGTTGTTGGGTTTTTTAAAAGTATTAATTAACTAACTAATTTTTATAAAGTACCTATCAAGACCAATTTGTGTTGCCCAAATATTCTTGTATAGGTGACCTTCTACTAAAGAGTAGTCAAACTCCCATGCTCGGGGATCATTGTGTCAGAGGAGGCAGAATGAGTGTAAGAGTCAGACTTAGTGGTTGAGTGCTTGGGAACAGTGTTTTCCAGACACGATGGGGAAGCTGCATGTAAACTCACAGCAGGTGTGGTAATATGCATAAGACCTACACAAGCTTAAGTCAGGACAAAACCCAACACACTAAGTCCTACACTTTACCAAGGAACTATTATTGACAATGGCTAACTGCTAGGAGAGGGAGAGTACGTTTTCTCTTAGAGTGTAGCTCCTGGTTAGCTTACAGACACTGGATAGAGTTTTGTCTTTTGATCCACTCTGACAAAAGGTCTCTTCAGTTAGTGCATTCAGACATTGGCATTGAAAATGGTTATGAATGAAACTGGGTTAATATTCATCTTACTTGTCACTGTTTTCCATTTGTTGGCTCAATTTTTGTTCCACTTAAAAATGTTTCCACTCTATTGCTGTCTTTTATGCTACTTGTTCCTTTCTCTTAACATATCACTTATGCTTCTTTTTAGAAGACTGTTTTTGGCTTCCCGGAATATGTAATCTCCATGTGCAACTACTCTGTGTACTTTCAAATAATGCAACATCATGCCATGGGTGGTGCTGGTGCCTTGAAACAATAAAATATCCAGTTTTCTCCTGTTTATTATTAACATAATTGTTGTCATATGTTTTTGTTTAAACATAAAAATCATGTATGTCTATATATGTATAAAATACACACACTACATGTATGCATATATATGCTGTTCCTCTATTTTGAGATAACTGCTGCCTATTAGATACATTATAAGTAAAAATAAGAGTTTCAATTTCTTATTTACTTAGTCATTTCCCAACTCTCCTTCTTAATGTGGATCTGAGCTTCAGACAATTGTCACTTTTGTTCACCTGAGAAAGTCTTTATTTCCCACCCCTTGTGGAGGACAATTTCTCAACACATAATTCTAGGTTGGTAGATTTCTTTTCCACTAAACTCTTTCTAAAGTCTCCTAAGTGCCTTGGATTTTCTAGTCACACTTATTTCCTTGGTTGCAGATGACAGTCAAGACTAAAACATTCCTGCTATGGTTATCTAAGGTGTCTGTCTACACACTATGATCCAGAATCCATCCATCCCAGTTTTCCTCCTTCCTCTTCTCTGCTTCCTTGGAATGCAATTGGACAAGCCTCGGATCTATCCTGAGTTTAAGTTATATCCATCCTAAACACTTTGAATAGCTGCAGCACAGAGGTCCCAGGTCACCCAGGGGCTCCGTGGGAAGAGAATGAGGTTGTTGAGCTAGATTTGCAGGCATACTCGCTTGCCTGAGTCACAGTCTTGAAGGCCAGTGACATGCACTGGAAACAGTAGCCATAGCCAGACAGCCAGATTCTCCTTTCCAAGACCTTTTAATATTCTAAGCACCGGACATGTGGATCTCTGTTTCAACCGTGAGCGCTGAAAAACAGGCCTGTAAATCTCAAATCCCACTCCTGAAGGCATACTTCCTTTATCAAAGTTCTACCTTCTGAAATTTCCATGACCTACCCCCTCTACCCCTCCACCCAAAACAGTGCCATAATCTGGGGACTGATTTCAGTGTGACCCACTCTGTGAGACTCAGATAAGGACCACAGTCACTGCCTTTACCTCTGTTAATAATGAGATGAGAAGCCAACCTGAGTGCCTGGTGAAGAAGAAAGCTATAAGGGAGACCCCATGGACTTAAAAATTTCCACCTGCTTCAGTGGGTCCCACAAATGTGCAGTCATGGAACTCTGTGTCCTGGAAGGCATATGTTATAACTGAGGTGTTGGGATCACAGGACTGAGCAGTGACTGCTCTTCATGCATGACTAGGGGTCTCCGTCCTTAGATAAAGGAAAGGATGACTGAGGGCGTGTCTAACCTAGACAGTGATGTAAGTAAAGAAATGAGTCACTGAGTTTAGTGGGGGTCACTGTGGCAGTGAAGGTGTGACTGGGAAGGACTTGCCAGAGAAGTGGGTGAGTTTCCTAGTTTCCTGCTGGTGCTACCTTAACTCACAGTGAAGTCCATTACACACTGCAGGTCAAAGTCTTACTACACTATAGTCAAAGTGTTGGTAGAAACATGTTTCTCTGGAATTTCAGGAGGAGAGTCTGTCTCCTTGGTTCTGTCTGTTTTGGCTCCTAGAGATGCTTGCCCTGCTCAGACAGTGTCCTTCCTCCAGCTTCCTAGCAGCACCAAGGCTGAGTCTTTCTCAAACACCGTCTCTCTTCTGACCCTTCTCTCACCTTTAAGGACCACCCAGATAATTCAGGTCATCTCACTATTTCAGGGTTTGTTACTCAGTATCCTTAATTTCCTTTGCCACACAACAGTTTGTATACAGGTTCTGAAGATTGGGATGGTGTTCATGGTTTGTCCCTGCTACAATTGTTGCTTATATAAGGATTCTGAAACCAGAGAAACCGTTTTCTTTAGAATATTCCCAGCTTTGGGTACTTTGTTTTAGCAGTAGAAAGCGAACCAAGACAGGGGTCATGATTCCGCCAACCACAGGGAGTAGGCATTGTTGGGAGGAAAGAATGGGATTAAAAGATGAGGTCAGAATTAAGATAATGAGGTCCTATGACAAATGCGACTTCCCATATTTGAGATGACAGGTTTATGAGGAAGAAGAAAACATTTAAAACAGGTAGTTTTACCTGACACAGTACGATGCTCAGGACTCTAGAGACCTAGGCTTCACTCCTCCAATCTCCATCTGATTGGATGAGCCATAAACCCTGCTGCAGACTAGGTACCTTGTCTTTTCAATCTTGAAATGAAATCCCAAGAATTAGACAGCACAGATAGCAATGAGGAGAGCATATAAGGAAAGGCACTTTGAAATATTAGGAATTTGAGGCAGCCCTGGGAGATTCCTCCATCCCCAACCATCCAGGACGCAGGTGTAGAAGAGTGGGCAACAGTAGATGCCACAGGAGTCAAGATTGTTCCAGTTCAATAAAAAAAGTTCCCTGTGGTTCTCATCGGTGGGTAATAGTCACTTTCTTGGTGCCAGCCTACCTACCAATCAGAGCCCCAGGTAAAAATCCTTAAGCTACACCCAGAGAATTTGACACTAAACAAGTTTGCCTCCTGCTCTGGGAATGTGGCAGGTAATTTGAAGTCCCTGAGAATGACTCATGCTTAATCCAAGTTGTGTCTGTTAAAACTGTAAGAAGCAAGACCCATGCCTATGTTTCTTAATTGTACTCCAAGTCCTTGCTCAGGGCCTGTGGCTTCCAATTATAGCTTTGTTCCTACCCAAGAGAAAAAGCAAAGGTCACCCGTGTTATTTTGATGCAGACTCCCTTTTCCAGAAATAAAGCTGACTAGTGTTTAAGGACTAAACAGTCCAACAGGAGGGCTTTTGTTAACAGGTGGAATCAGAAACAGAAAGCAGGGCATATGCTTGTCCTAAATGCCTGAGTTGCAGCGAAACCATCAGGTACCTTGGGCAGGCATCAGAGTTTCCATGAGGCAGATGGGGCCTGGTGTCTGCTGGGATTTAGCTAGAAAGCAGAATAACTTTGCATAGTGATTGTGGGAAGCTGTAAAGAGTCAACTGTACAGTGTGGTACAAATATTAGCTCTTGGCCTCATCTGGCTCTGGCTTCCCCTTGACCATGTGGCTGAAGCCCTTCATCTGAGGAGGGATAAGCAGCTGGGGATAGCTGACATCTGCCAGAGGGGCATTGCAAACCTCTGAACATCAACTCTTTCTCAGCCACTTCTGACACCCTTATTTAGAGGCAAAGAGTCCAGTCCAGGCAGAGAGGCAGAAACAGTGTGAAAGTCATCCCATCCTCAGGGTAATAGACTTACTGGGGTCTCCTTGTTCCTTGAAGAATACCCTCCTGCCCCCAATAGCCTTGAAGTCTTCAGAGAAGCTGAAAGTCACAGGGACATGTGGCCTCATTCCCACTGTGGGGACAGGCTGCTCCCAGTGCAGCTTCCATATGGCTTAATACTTTGAGATTTCTTACACGTCTCAAGGGAAGGCTGTTCTTCCTACAGGTTTCCCGGCGTGTGTCTCCTCTCATCCATAAAAGATTGGGTTTACTCACTGTGGAAAGCTGGAAGTGAAAAACAGGTGCAGCTATATAATATTTCTCTTTAATTACTGTTTATAGGAGAAAAAACCAAGTGTGGAAATTAATTATTCCATATTGTTAGAACAGGGCGAACTGCTTACTAATTTTAACTATGGCTTTTATGGGGAGGCTGTTGCTCAACATCTTATTAATGTGGGTAAATATTAACAAACAGTTCACACACCTCCTCCCCCACTAGCATCTCCCTGTCCTTCTACATCACCCTTCAGTGCAGTCTCCTGGGGAGGAGGAGTTCACGGGTGTCTCTTTCCTTCCCTGTGTGTTGCTGAGCTCCTGTGTAACAAAACTTCCTTTCAGGAAGTGTGCTTTACTTGCAGAACTGTTTCCGTCTCTCACCAACAGGGTATCCTGAGACTTCCAAACACACAGAAGACAATGTTTTTCTATTGCCCAATGCCCATTTCCGTGCCTGGGTCATTCACCCTCCTGTTTGGCAGTCTCCATTGGATTTTTAGCCATTGAAAGAAAACCGTAGGAAGCCAGGGGCCAGCAGGGCAGATTAGCATGGATGAGATGGGAATGGAGAATCCCTCCCCCAAAGCTCCTCTGAGTTTGTCTTCTGGTGCATAGAGCAGAGAATTACCAGGTTCTGAACTCATGCAGCACAGGTAATGAAGCAGGACAGGAAGATTTGGGGAGCTGGACTTAACATATTCTCAGCAGAATCCTTATTGAAGGTGTATTAGTTGGCTTTTGTCTGATTGTCTTTGTTTGTTTTTAAGATACGGCTTTTCTATGTTGACCAAGTTGGTCTTGCATTTGTGAGCTCAAGTGATCTTATCTCTGTCTCCCTAGGAGATCCAGTTACAGGTGTGGGCTGTGATTGGTTCTATTGTTTCATTTTGGGTTGTTGTTGTAGTAGCAAAATACACAAGGCAGGGTGCTTCATAAAGAAAAGTGGTTCGAGAGAAGGGCACCAGTACTTGGTTTGGCTCTGGTGAAGCCTGTGTTAATGGGAGGACAGTGGCAGGAATACATAGAGAAGATCACAAACAGCAAAGAGAAATAGGAGGGATTCAGGGGCCAAGTTGATTTTTAAATATTTTAAAAGATCTATCTTTATTTTAATTGCATGAATGTGTGGAAAATGTGTGTGGTTAATGTGCATGTGACTGTAGGTGTTTGCAGAGGCCAGAGGAACTGGGTCGCCCTTGAGCTGGAGTTCCAAACAGTTGTGAGCTGCCCAGCATGGGTGCTTAAAATTGAACTCAAGTCCTCTGCAAGAGTAGAATGTACTCTCAGGGTCCAGGTTTACTTTTTGGACTTTCTTGACATCCAAGGGTACCCTTGGTAGCTACACTAAACTCTTCCAAGGATAGTACCCCTACTGACCAAATCTTTTTCCCATAGGTCCTACTTCTTAAGGTTTCCTTGATGTGAACACTGCTACCCTAGGTACCAAGCCACCAGCATGAAAACCTTTGAGACACACTAAGCCATATTAGTAGAATTGAAGACTCATCAGACCCACCTGGAGTAGCAGTGGGGGTGAGCAGAGTCTTCCTG